TTTGGACCCAAAATATAACGAGGATATATTTAAACCCTTTTTATAGTACGGGGATATATTTGGCCCTTTGCCGTTTTTGAATTCACATTATACTTCACTAATTTTTAACCTTTAAATATAAAATTCAGGAAAAATTAATGGTTTTTTAAACCTTCACTAGTGCAAAATCCTGAAAAGTTTCAGGAAGAATTCATGATTTTTGAATTAATATTATACTTCAACATTTGAGTGCTACTGCTTCAAGTCATTTAAACTTCAGGAACAATTACTTGACTTTAAACTTATAAATATTTAAAGTCCAATAATCGTTCTTGGAGTTGTTCTATATTATATTTTTGTCCAAATATATATTCTCGCATTAATGAGTGACTAGTTTACCATGACAATTTAAAATATGGCTAAGCTCTAATAGCCGACCTAAAAAGTGGCTATTTACTAATTTCTCACCGCAATGGACAACATTTGTGTTGGTAAAATATTTTTCAAAGCCAATTTTCCTTGTCCATTTAAAGTTCTTTGCATTTCAATTTCTGAGTTAAATTTTTTAACTCTAGTTTCAGTATCTCCTAATTAATTGAAGTAGAAGATGCTTAAGCCAATATAAATCATTGCCCAAAGAAAATGTGCCTTATTTAACTCCAATTCTAGTCATGTTAACTTCACCCAATGGGATACACAAGTTCACAATTTTAAAAAATTATGATTGTGTTCCAATATTTATTAACAAACTAGAATCCTTCTTTTCTTTTTCTTGTTTCCCTTAAGAACTTATACTTAAAATTTAGAACGACGAATACCATTGAACTAAGAGACTACTCTGAAAATTTTAAATTAGAATATGGGGTAAATGCAAAATAAAATTAGATTATGGGCCTCCATGGCCCATTGTGCAAGCCCGAGATTTTGCACAAGACCAATTTATCTTTTTTATTGGGCTTTCTTGTTAATGCAACTCCACTTCTTAGGCTTTTCCTCGACACCAACCCCTTTTTCATAAGGTTGGGTATACTAAAGGGCTTGTTTCACTTTTAGCCCGCGTCAGAAACTATTTACATTAGGTAGCCAAAATTTTATATAATTTTTTAAATATAATATATATATGTATGTATATATGTATATATATATATATATATATATATATATATATATATATATATATATATATATATATATATATATATATATTTCGACTATTATTTTGAGAGCGGCTATTCAATGTCATTTTTTCCATATTACTAAATAGGTTCAGAGGCCCTAAGCCCATGGAGTGGCCTATTTTCATTGTGCTTTCCTTCTATTTTGGGTGATTTGCACAAATAGAATCATTGACGTTTTATTTTTAACCCCGGTAAAAAAAGTGTTAGAAAATAGCCTTCGGCTAGAATTTTAAGAAGCGCTCATGATAATCGCCAGATTTTTTCATATGGTCATCACTAGAATTTGCCATAAAAATAAGGCAATTGCTAGAAATTTTCCATAAAACATAGCAATTACCAGAATTTTTCATATAGGAAAATTTTGGCGGTCGCCCAGAGCCAGGTTGTTTCCCAAGAATTTTTTCACCGGGGATAAAATTTAAACCGTGGTCAGTGTAATTTTCTGAATGATAATGATAACTTCATATTATGCAGGGCCTATCTAATTTTGATCATAAGCACTAATTATTATTAGTATTAGTACGAAATCATTAAAAGTAACCACTTGTTGAAGCAATTCTGGATTATTAGTGCCAAATTTTTCCCATGATAACCACCATTTACATCCAATTACAAATAGATTTAAGAAAGCTAATTATGTCTATTAATTCATGAAAATCATAATGACCTATAGAATACTAATGTTATCAACAACTTCAGTTCCTAAGTGACCAACTACAATGTCTAAGAGGCACCAAATTTTAGCAACAACCCTTTGGTGTGAATTTCTGCTTTGAGCATTAATAGTTTACTTTGTTTGGAAAATCAACTGATTTTAGGTCTTCCTCTTCTTCTTCTCTTCCTCCCCCCCCCCCCACCCCCCCATTTTCCTTTATCTATTAATTAATGCATCAATCAAAGAATGAAACCATCATTCATTTTTGCACTATTGTTGATCCAACACAAGACATCGGTAGAATGCACTATTAGTATATTATTGCCTTTTTCAATGATGTTGGGAAAAAACAGGAAACTATAAACTTTGTGTTCCACTACTTCCATCAACCATATTTTACCTATGTATTTTGGCGGTAAACCACCTGATCTTGAGAAGGTAAAATAAGACACATTCACGAACTTTGATTTTATTGGGACAAACATAGTATATGTGAATCATATATTAGCAATTTCATTGCTATTAATTCAACGTAGAAGGGGAGTGGAGCAACGGTAAAGTTGTCTCCGTGTGACCTATATAGGTCACGGGTTTGAGCCGTGGAATCAGTGAGTGATACTTGCATCAGGGTACACTGTCTATATCACACTACTTGAGGTGCAACCCTTCTCAGACCCTGCGTGAACGTAGGATACTTTGTGCACCGAACTATCCTTTTTAACTAATAATTCAATGTACATGTTTGAGGTCTGAGAACATGTTTGGATGGTCACCTTTAAAGTTTTTGGCAAATCAACAATGAAATATAATAGGCTTGGGGCATGGACTACTAATTAGGATTTTGATTAATATTCCCCNTATATATGAAAATCTTTTTTTTATCTAAAATGCAATTTAACTTTATTACTTCATGTCTTTTTCCATGGCCAGATGTAGGGGTGTACAAATCGAACCGGAGAACCGCATCAAACCGAAAAATCAAACCAAACCGATTAAAACCCCCGACTAAGTTTGGTTTGATTTGGTTTGGATTCGAACCAAACCGACATATAAATATATACTTTCTATATATATATATATATATATATATATATATATATATACATACATACATACATATACACTTTTAAGATTTTATATAGAATTTTCTTATAAAAATGTATATAAATATTTGGGATTCTCTTACGGGATATAACATTTAATAAAATATGAAGTGCTCCATATTTATTAACCTTAATAATTGGTTGTATGATCACTTTCTTATCAAGTGTTACTGAAATGCGTCAATCACTTTGTTCTTCCATATTCATATGTCAAAATCTATTAAATTCTTATATCTTTTTCAAATTTGAAGTGATTATTATTATTTAGGTATCATTAATTTTTATGTTTAATTACTAAATTAATTCGATTAACCTTGAAAGTGTACATCAAAGAAAAATTATTGTCAGATGACTAAAAAAATAACTATCATGTGTTACTAAGTAAATTCTCCCATAAGAATATTTAATAGATAGTGTGTTTGTCAATTTTTTTAATTTTTTACTAAACATATATTAACTTATAAAATATTTAATAAAGTAAGATTTAAATAATATTTAAGTAATAAAAAACCCGAAAAATCCGAAAAACCCGCCAAAATCGAACCAATCCAAACCGATATAGTTGATTTGATTTGATTTTATAAAAACCGAACTAACAGGTCCATGTACACCCCTAGCCAGATGTAGTTTTCAACATATCCACACCATTATTTACAAAGAGTAATATTCACATTGGCAATTCAAATCCATTGACTTAAAACTCTGAATTTAATTTTAATTTTTTTCGGTCGATATTAGTGTACGCGCAAGTAGGAAGCAAGTTCTTGATATTAGTATAAGACTGTTTTTCTCCAGAGATAGCAAAATGGTTAAAAGAAAATACTTATCCAACCATATTATTCATCGAAAAATGGGTTGCATAATGAACCATTTAAAAACGGATCGAATATGGATAAAGAACCATATTATCCACTTAGAAAATGATTAACCAAATGGATAATCAATGGATAACTAATGTATTTAACTTTTACATTTGTAAAGCCTCAAATTGGAGTTCCTCAAGTTTGCAAGACTAGGACTTCTCTAATAAGTGATCATATTTAAGAAGCCATGGATAATATGGATATATTATCCGCCGGATAAACCCGTTTTTATCCGTCTCAAATACGGGTCGGGTCGGATAATTTATCCGCTTTATTAAAATTACCCGTTTTGACCCGCTCATATTCGACCCAACCCGCCCGTTTGCTGCCCCTATTTTTATCTACTAATGGCTTGTGTAACATTCTTGAAAATTAAATCCTTATTATTTTACTCATAACGTGTATCACAGCCTCACTACAAAAATTTCTAACAAAAAAGAATCGTTTTCCAAAATGAAGGCAAAAATGGAAGCAACTTTATAGTCACTTTTCATGCATAGGCAACCCAACAGCTTAAAAGAAATAAGAATATAGCAAGGATCAATAAAAGTTACTCCCTCCGGTTCACAATAAGTGTCCAATTTGCTTTTTCATTTTGGTTCAAAATAAGTGTCCAGTTATGTAATCAAGAAAGAATTCAATTTGTTTTTACAAAATAACCCCTATGTACATATCCCTAAAAAGTTTTCTTACTCCTCATATTAAATGTTTAATTAGGGATAGTTTAATCATAGTAGGTATTTTTGTATAGGATTTAGTATTTTCTTAATGGGCGTGCTAAAAGCAAATTGAACAATTATAGTGAACCAGAGGGAGTAAAGGACAACTAAACATGGTGGACATACTGTGATTAGTGGGGAGTGGCAATGGTTGGGGTTGGGGGGGGGGGGGTTAGTGGGGGCTCTTTACAAAAGTTAATGGACCACCCAAAGATGATAAAAATACATGTCTTCCACTAACACCCCATCCAATATGCCTTTCTTCTGTCCATTCATTCACTTCTTGATTTTAGTTTTACCAATAAATATTGTAATTTAGAATAAGCCACATGTGATCAGAAGGTCCCGGGTTCAAGCTATGAAAATATTAAGTTTGCGTATAATAGACCCTTGTGGTCCGGCCCTTTCCCGAACCCCGTGCATAGGGGAAGCTTAGTGCACCGGACTGTTTTTTTTTATAAAGAACAAGTCACATTCTTAATTTCCTTTGAACAAATCACACCTCAAACCAGAAGGATACATTTCATTATCCATTGAGTGAAAGTACTCCTAAGAGTGGAGCATATAAAATACAAAGAAGATGACAAAAGGCCTTTTGTTTCTTTCTTAGCTTTTTGAGAAACTAGGCCACACTTCCCCATTCATTTGCATGGGAGAACCTTTCAAGGTGAAAAAAAGCAAAAGGGTCAAAACTTCCCACACTGCTGAAAAAGTTCACATTTACTGCTGACACAAACCTAAAAAAATCAAAAACCAAAAGGGTATACAAGAGAGAAAGCATTAGACTAAATTAAATTTTACAGGGGTGAGGGGGCTATTATCAGTAATGGGATCTTGTTTTTTTTTTTCATTTTTAGGATCATTGGCAATTAGGGTTTCTACCAGGGCCTCCAAAGTAAAAGTGATGTCCCCAATCTTCATTACTTCCTGTTTGGACATCATAGCAGTTGGATTGCTCAGTGAAAGTGCCAAGATCTTTAGGAGATTTAAGATTATTGGAACTGTCAACAACTTGAATGTTTCTGAAATAACTTGACTTGCCAAAACCTTCTTCTGGGAACCTACCACTCCCCATTTGTGTAGCTGTATGTTTACCATCTGGTTGTGAATTCACCACCTCCCCACCCCACTCTATCATTGATGCACTCTCTCCTAAATAGGAGAACAAAAATGATGGCCAATACCCCAACACATAGTCATTTCCAAATTGCATCCACCAATGTCCTTCTTTTGGATCCTACAATTAATATCCAATGTAAAAGGATTACACCAACAAGAACAATGAGCAAATAGAAACAGAAGTTTCTTTTTGTGTGTGTGTGTGTGTTTCAGGCACCAATTTGGGAGTTGTGTGTTTTTGGATAATAAAGATTTGATTTTTTTGAAAGGGAATAATAAAGATTTCTTGTTTCCAGAACAGTTAAATTTAATTATATTAGTTAGACATTTTCCTTGAGCCGAGGGTCTTTCGGAAACAGCCTCTCTATCCCTCGGGTAGGGACAAGGTCTGCGTATACACTACCCTTCCCAAACCCCACTTAGGAGATTTTACTGGTGGTTGTTGTAGTTGGACATTTTCCCACATAATGATGTGTTCAATGAATTCTTGATATTCACTTTTTTTATTCACTTGATGAGATGCTGGCTGTTGGTGCCCCACAATTTGACATAAAGGCAGAATGGTCTGAAACTTTGAAAGTGGAATTTTACCTTCCAGATAAGAATACTGATATCATACTGGGAGTTTCTATAGGCTGAAACAGGGGAGATGCTTGCTCCCATAGCTATTGCACTGCTGACTTGAATGAAACCTGAGCAGAGAAGGTTGTAGCATCCTGTTGCTTGATATGCATCACTCTGCAAATAATTGTAACCAAAGATTAAGAACAGATCATAAAGTTCAAATAAAAATGAGAAATCAAGAAACTTACAGTCCAGTAAGTGAACAGTCTTGTGTTATTGTCACCATAGAGGTCTGGGCTAACCTGACATTCACGTGCATGCTTACTTGTTAGACTCAATAATAACACACAATACTTTTGACATGTGAAGGTGAACAGTCGGGTGTCATTGTCCCTCACTACAACTTTATTCAACTCAAAAAATAGTTCCAAGTATAGCAGAGAGTAGTAATTAATATACCTGCCAACCAGCTTCAATGCTGTTTAGATCTTCACCAAAAGAACCACCAAGAATCCAAAGCTGAGATAAGCTGAACTCATTTGGCTGCTGTACCTTGGGTTCCCACACATTAATAGTTGCCTTTGCTCCATAATACTTGTCTCCTTCAACATAAGCTATTGCATGCTGCCAATACACACAAAAAACAATCAGATAAGAAAATCAAGATATGGTTCTGGAAGTCTATGTTGCACTGACTTTCCAAAATGCTGCCGCACTCGTGTCGGATGCTCCAAAAATACACTACTTTTGGAGGATCAGACACGCACCAGGCGACATTTTCGGAGAGTCCAAGCAACATAGCTGGGAGTGATAAAATTGATGGTAGAAATGTTAGGCACCTGATGTCCACTTTCATTGATAAGGTCAGGATCTGTAGACCTGGGCTTAGGGATGGCTCTGTGCTTCTTCTTGCCATACCTTTTGATAGAACTTGCCCTCAAAACATCATCTTTCTTTGTTCTTCTTACAGGAATAGTGTCCTCAGGGCAACTTCCACTCATATGCCACAATTGAGTGATGGAATTTGTTCTTTCTTTAGGCCTTGTGGCCATCTTGTCCTCATCAAAAAGCCCTTCTGGATGATAGCTAGGTCGCATCTGAGCATTTATAATACACCCATTAGAATATTACCAAGAATTTTCAAGGAGAAAATTAAGGAATGTGAGAAGAAAATACTGAAAGAGTGTTTTTATTGAAAGCAATGGAAAAAAGAAATATGGACCTGGATTTTGTGATCTTTGAGGAATGGGTGGTCAAAAGCTGGTTGCTGAGAGATGTGTACACAGTCAATAATATCCCCATCTGCACTCTGTATAATCATTACAGTCACAACATTAAAATTTAATCTTACTCACTTTCCTTCATGCTCAACCAAATATCTTCCATTTAACAAAGGAAATTGTTCTACTTCAGATATGGTAATAACTAATTTGAATGACTTCCAAGAATAAGGGAGGAGACACACAACATGGAGCCAAAAACAAGAGAACCCTTGCTCCTCTTACCCTCTCTCAAAACCCCACTACCCACCACCACCACCCACCACCCCCCACCACCACCCCACCCAAAAAAAACAAAAAAATGGGGAGCAACCAATATAAACCAAACACTGCAATAGCTATTCAAGTAAAAAATTATTAGCTGAGAAAATCACTAAAAAATGGACAAAGAAGATGAAAATTAGGATAGAATCACAGAGCAGCTAATGATAAGTGCACAAGCTAGGGGAAAAATGACACTCACAACACTACTATTTTCCTTCCACTAGCGACCAATTTCTCCAGCAAAAAAGTTCAAAACTCAATAATTTTTTATTTTTTTGGGAGTAATGTTGTCACAAAGAGATGGTTTAAGCTTAAACCAAGGGGAGAAAAGTGAAGTAAATACCTCAATGCTTTTGATGGCAGGTTTATTGAGCCTTTTCAAGTGTCTCTCAACCTGAAGCTTCTGCCTTGAGACAGAAGAGAGCCTAGCAGCACAAGATAACGAGATCAGAGAACCCCACAAGTAAACCAACATCAAAACTACAATATAAGCTCTTCTTCTCCTCTGACCACATGAGCTAAACTGCACAGCAGCTGCCATTGTACGTAGGTACGCTATTTCACCTCCAATCAAGAAAAGAAGCACGACCCAAGTCAAGAAATCAGCTAAAATGGCTACACACACTACACTTCCAGTGTGTTTTTCTAGCTCAAATTCACTCTACCATAGCCAGAAAAGCTCTTAAACTACACTCCTTAAGAGTCCATACACTGCTTATCCTACGCACCACTGTTCTACTTTTTTCTCCTCAAAGAAAACACAAAACCCAAGTGTTGAGGACAGTGAGAGGCTAAAAGCTTTTACTTTGATTGTTTCTCTCTCCTTTCCGCTTCACCCAAAAATCCAATAAAAATGCAGAGTTGAGTCTGTCGTTTTCCATTTCCTTATTCACACCCATTTATTTAATACTACTATTTCTTTTTCAATTTTCTTTTTTATATTTTTGGTTCTTTGTTTTTCTCTTATTTTTGGTGAACACGAGGGGTAAAAAAAGGACGGTGGAAAAGAGTGGGGTCGGAGAAAATGCACCATGCCGTCCTTTTCTTTCTATGTGGGGTCCACAAAGGAAACCTCTGATTTTACTTTTATGCCCTTTGTGTTCAAAGTTTTTAACCGTTACCATTTCGAATTTGCCCCTCCATTTACCATTTCGAGACACCAGTATCAACTTTCAAGTACTCCTATAAGTATTTTTAAAAAAATCTCGCTATTATTTTGGAAAACTAACACAGTTTACCAATATTTTTTATACCATTAGGGGTCGTTTGGTAGGGTCATTTGATAATGACAAATAGGTGTATAACTAACATTTGTATTAATTATACATAGGTTAAGAAAGTACCAAATAAAGGATTTATCAAAGATAATACATGCATTATTTTCTCTAATACATACATTGTTCAAATGTTGTATTGTTTATGTTAAATTGATGAATTCAGTTAACCTCTAACTCAGATTTAAGAATGAAAGATGAAGACGAGAGGAGAAGAAGAACTGGAAAATGGAAACTTTACTGTTCCATTGAGAAAGAGTACTGTACAACTGGCTAACTAACGTCTATTTACACTAACTAATCTCTAACTCAACTATAGTTACTAGCTAGCTAACTATGGTTTATAAATAACAATCAACAACTAACTAACACTTGTTTGCCCTGTATCAGTACATTCCTCAACACCCCCCCTCAAGCTAGGTCTAAGGAAAATGTTCTTTAGGCCTAGCTTGGATAATAGATGGTCATGCTGATTGCAACTTAACCCCTTCGTCAATAGATTAGCTGGTTGCTCAGCAGAAGGCAGATACACAGTTTCAACCAATCCCTGCTGTATCTTCTCACTAATGAAATAACAATCGATGTCAATGTGCTTGGTGCGTTCGTGGAAGACTGGGTTCGCAGCAATCTGTATTGCAGATTTGTTGTCACAATAGAGTGGAATAGGCAGCGTGAGAGATATTCCCAATTCATTGAACAGACCAACCAACCATAATATTTCTGCCACAGTCGATGCTAGACTTCTATACTCTGCTTCAGCTGAAATACGAGATATAGTATTCTGCTTCTTAGATTTCCAAGATATTAGAGAATCACCAAGTGTGACCATATCCCCAGTCACTGACTTCCTCGTATTTGGGCATGAAGCCCAATCAGCATCACAATAAGCTTGCAACTTGGTAGAACCTGTAGATGACATAAGGATTCCTAGACCAGGATTCTTCTTCAAATATCTGATTACTCTTAAGGCAGCCTCAAGATGGGATGTCTTAGGAACATGCATGAATTGGCTCAAACATTGCACAACAAATGAAATATCCGGCCTAGTAATGGTTAGATAGAGTAGCCTACCAATCAACCTCTGATAGGATCCAGGATCAGCAAGTAAAGTATCACTGGTAAGTCCAAATTGGTGATCAAATTCAGTTGTAGTTAACTTCTGATTCACCTCAACAGGTGCCCCCACTGGTTTTGCTCCTGCCAAGCCAGCATCAGAGATAAGTTCAAGAGAATACTTCCTCTGATGTAACAAAATTCCCTCCTTACTTCTCGCAAACTCAATGCCCAAAAAATACTTGAGCTCTCCCAAGTCTTTGATTTTGAAGTTCTGATGAAGTGCAGCTTTGGTTTCTGATATAAGGACAACATCATCTCCAGTGATGAGCAAGTCATCCACATACACTAGGACAATAACTATCTTCCCATTAATGTGCTTAGTAAACAAAGAATAATCAAGATGGCTCTGTTTGAAACCTGACTGAAGAAGTGCAGTAGTTAGTTTAATATTCCATTGACGGGAGGCTTGTTTAAGCCCATAAAGAGACTTGTGTAATCGACAAACTTGTGTCTTTCCTGCTGAATGTGAGAAACCCTGAGGCAGTTCCATATAGACTTCCTCTTCCAAATCTCCTTGCAAGAATGCATTGTATACATCCATTTGGTGCAAAACCCAACCTTTTGCAGCTGCAATGGCAATCACAGACCTGACTGTGACCATTTTCACTACAGGTGAAAATGTCTCTTGATAATCCAAACCTTCCTTCTGACTGTACCCTTTTGCCACCAAGCGAGCCTTGAACCTTTCTATATCTCCAGAAGCTGTATATTTGATCTTATAGACCCATTTACAACCAATTGCCTTCTTGCCATGAGGCAGTGTTACTACCTCCCACGTGTGATTATCTTCTAGAGCTTGGATCTCTGCTTTCATAGCTTCAATCCACCTCCAATCCTTGGCAGCTTCATGAAAGGATGTAGGTTCAATATCTGAAGAAACTTTAGCAACATATGCTTGATATTTGGCTGAAAGCCCACCATATTGTATAACATCACTAATTGTATATAGATAATGACTTGCAAAACCTGACCTTCCTTGAGGTCTAATGTAGTCCTTGAGCCAAATAGGAGGTTTAGTGGTCCTGCCAGACCTTCTCTGATCACAAACAATGGATGGTCTATTTTGTCTAATATCATATGACATAGGAACCTCATTTCCTTCAGCTGGTGTCTGTATCTCTGGAACAATGGATGGTCTATTTTGTCTAATATCATATGACATAGGAACCTCATTTCCTTCGGCTGGTGTCTGTATCTCTGGAACAACAGTTGCACCTTCTTCTACATTGACACTTCTTCCTGTATTGCTGGAATTAGAGGATGAAGATGCTTGCATTTCAGATGCATGCGCATCAACTATTGTGTCAATGTTAGTATTCCCAAGCGCTTCAACACCCCTGCAATCAATAGGTGACAGCAGACTATCATTGTTGAATATGGCAGTTGATTGGGAGTACATTCTGAAATCTTCAACATTTTTTTGGAAAGGGTACACATCTTCATGAGAAACCACATCCCTGCTCACAAATATAGACCTCTGCTCAATGTTGTATAACTTGTAGCCCTTCTGTGTAGGTGCATACCCCAGGAACACAGACTTTATTGCACGAGGACCAAACTTGTCTCCTTTCACTAAGTTAGTAGCAAAGCATAGACACCCTAGAACTCTCATGTGAGATATAGAAGCTTGTCTGCCAAATAACACTTCAAAAGGTGATCTGTTGTGCAAAACAGTGGAGGGTATCCTGTTGATGATGTATACTGCTGCCTCAATACACTCTCCCCAGAATCTGATAGGCAAATGACCTTGAAACCTTATAGCCCTTGCTGTCTCCAATATACGTCTATGTCTTCTTTCTACCACTCCATTTTGTTGTGGAGTGTATGGACAAGAACTTTGATGCACAATGCCATGTACTGAGAATAACTCATTGCAACTCTGATTAAAAAACTCTATCCCATTATCAGACCTGAAACATTTTATCATCTTCCCAAATTGTGTCCTGACCATAATGATGAACTGTTTAAGTACTGCAGCTACATCAGATTTAAGATGTAATAAAAAAATCCAGGTCCACCTGGAATAATCATCTACAACTGTGAGAAAAAATCTTTTTCCATTATGAGTTAAGGCTTTGTAAGGCCCCCATACATCCATATGTAGCAAATCAAAACAATCTACTGCTCTAGTAGTACTTATTTGAAATGGAATCCTAGCTTGTCTTGCCAAAGGACAAATGTCACAATGACTTATTCTAGCACTATCATTACCAGTGAGATTAGGTAACTTTTTAATGACAGAAAAAGGGACATGTCCCAGCCTCTTATGCCACAATTCACTATCAGCTCTTACTACTGCAAATGACTTAGCTGAATTCTTTAACCTCCTTTGTGTATGAAGCACATAGAGCTCCCCTTCTTTTTTACCAATCTCCTTCACCTTCCCAGTGAAGAGATCCTGTAAAATACAGAAATCAGGATAGAAAGCAGCACAACACTTAAGGTCCTTTGTCAATTGAGACACAGACAGTAGGTTGAATTTAAATGCTGACACACATAATACACCTGTGATAGTTTCTCCTCCATTCAGTTGACAGCTTCCAGCATGAGACACTTTGGCTGAATCACCTGTAGGGAACTGGACACTACTTGCATTTCCTGTTATCACTTTGTCATGCAAAGTGTCTTGGTTACCAACCATGTGATTAGTAGCTCCAGTATCCACAATCCACTTTCATCAGGTTGTTGAACATAGGAGACATTACCTGCCATATGTGCAGAAGCATAAGCCTCTGAGACATGTGTGTTATTCAGCAGTGTAAGGATTTGTTGATATTGCTCAGGTGTAAAAGCTGGTGCTGGTGCATACTGCTGTTGCCCCAGCTGATGTCCTTGTCCAAGTCTTTGTTGACCATAACTTTGTGGTTTAGCTAACATTCCATCAGATGGAACATACACACCTTGACCTGGAACACAACTAGTCATATTTGCCTTCCTTTTTGACTTAAAATCCGCAGGGTACCCATTCAACTTATAGCAATTTGTCTTCAAATGCCCTTTCATGTTGCAGTATTCACACCTCAATAGCTTGTAGTAGTTGTCTCTTATATGTCCTTTCATATTACAATAATCACACTCCATATTATAGTTTTTCTTTACTATCTTCTGCCCCAACTTTGATGAGTATAAGGCTGTGAGATCTGATGAATCAGCAACATATGAACTGTTACCAGCCACCATTTTCTGACTTTCATCTTGTAAAATCATTGCATATGCTTGATTAACAGTGGGAATTTTGGATTTCATAAGAATTTGACTACGGGCTTGACTGTAACTATCATTGAGTCCCATCAGAAATTGCCATAGTCGTTGATATTGTTGGTGATCTACAAACTTTTTAAACTTATCACAACAGGTAGGTGGTGGCATTATTGAGTCATATTCATCCCAGAGATCCTTCAGTTTAGAGTAATATACAGAAACGCTAGTTACTCCTTGAGTCAATGTAAAAATTTCTCTATGAAGATAATACATTCGTGAATCATTTACTTTATCAAA